ACACCAAGTCCTCAGTCACTGGTCTTGGTATCCCGGACTCCTGCTGCTTCAATGGTGGGGGCTGGCAGAGGACCACTCAGTTAAAGAAAGAGGGCGTGGCCAACTAATGATCTTAAAAATGGAATCGATTTTTTACATTTTAAAACGCAGGGCCAGCCCCGTGGCTTTAGCGGTTAAGTGCGCGAGCTCCGCTGCTGGCGGCCCGGGTTCGGATCCCGGGTGCGCACCGATGCACCGCTTGTCCAGCCATGCTGAGACAGCGTCCCACATACAGCAACTAGAAGGATGTGCAACTATGACGTACAACTATTTACTGGGGCTTTGGGGAGGAAGAAAAAAAAAAAAGAGAAGGATTGGCAATCGATGTTAGCTCAGGGCTGGTCTTCCTTACAAAAAATAAAAAAAATAAAATGCAAATCAGGGGCCAGCCCCGTGGTGTAGCAGTTAAGTGCACACGCTCCGCTGCTGGCAGCCCAGGTTCGGATCCCGGGCGTGCACCGACACACCGCTTATCAAGCCATGCTGTGGCACCGTCCCATATAAAGTGGAGGAAGATGGGTATGGATGTTAGCCCAGGGCCATCCTCGGCAAAAAGAGGAATATTGGCATGGATGTTAGCTCAGGGCTGATCTTCCTCACACACACAAAAATAATAATAAAATGCAAATCAGATATTGCTCCTGCCCCCAGCTCTCCCACGATGTGCCTCCACACAGAGCGAGCCATGAAGTCTTCCCCGCGGCCCACGCACTCCCTGCTGTCTTCAAATGCCCCCCAAACAAGTGCCCTGGGGCCTTTGCACCTGCTCCTCCTGCTGCCTAGACTCTTCTCCCAGACATTCAAGAGTAATAGTTTGCATAAAACCATTTATTCTGAAAAGTTGAGCTGCAAATATGCCTTCAATTAAAAACATAACAAACGATATGACCCAGAGTCAGTTTTTTGACAGTCATTTTGTGTTAAGTATGTTCTAAGAACATTAAATACACATTCATGGTAGCAAAGCAGCAGCCGAGGGAGCTCCATTTTGGGAACAACGTAAAACTTTACAATAAAGGCTATTCATGAAACAAACCAACTATTTTAAAAATATGATTAGCATAATCTTTGTGTCTTGAAACGCAGACTTATAATAATATTTCCAAATGACAATTACAAAATTCAACAAACGGTGCTGGGAAAACTGGACATCCACATGCAAAAGAACAAGGTTGGACCTTTACCTAACACCATATACAAAAATTAACTCGAAATGGATCAAAGACCTAAACTGAAGAGATAAAACTATAAGACTCTTAGAAGAAAACATGGGGGAAAATCTTCATGACCATGAATTTGGCAATGATTTCTTGGATATATACCAGAAGCACAGGCAACAAAAGAAAAAATAGATTAAGTTGGACTACATCAAAATTAAAAACTCTTGTATAGCAAAGAACACTATCAACTGACAGCAAAGAACACTATCAACTGAATGAAAAGACAACCCACAGAATGGGAGAAAATATTTGCAAACCATATATCTGATAAGGGATTAATATCAGGAATATAAAAAGAACTCCTGGAACTCAACAAAAAAAAGGAAACAACCCAATTCAAAAATGAGCAAAGGACTTGACTACACATTTCTCCAAAGAAGATATACAAATGGCCAATAAGTACCTGAAAAGATGCTCAACATCACTGTCATTTGGGATACGCACATCAAAACCACAATGAAATACCACTTCACACCCATTAGGATAGCTTAATCAAGAAAAAACCAGACAATAACAAGTGTTGACAAGGATGTGGAGAAACTAGAACCCTCGTGCACCGCTGCTGGTGGGAATGTAAAATGTTTGGTGCAGTGTTGTGGAAGACAGCTGGCAGTTTCTCTAATAGTTAAACACAGAATCAGCATATGATACAGGAATTTCACATTTATGTATACACCCCAAAGACTTGAAAGCAGGGACTCAAACATCAATATTCACAATAGGCAAAGCATGGAAACAACCCAAGTGTCCATCAACAGATGAATGGATAAACAAAATGTGGTACATACATACGATGGAATATTATACAGCCATAAAAAGGAACGAAGTTCTGACACATGCTACAACATGGATGACCCTTGAGGATATTATACTGAGTGAAATAAGCCAGACCCAAAAGCACAAATATTTTTATTCCATTTATATGACATACATAGAATAGTCAAATTCATAGAGACAGAAGTAGAACAGAGGATATCAGGAACTGGTAGGAGGGCAGTTAGGGAATGGTGAGTTATTGTTTAATGGCTATGGAGTTTCTGTTTGGTATGATAAAAAGTTCTGGAAATAGATAGTGGTTATGGTTACACAACATGGTGAATGTATGTAATGCCACTGAATGCTACATTTAAAAATGGTTAAAATGGTAAATTTTATGTTTACCATTTATGTTTATGGGGTAAATTTTACCACAATTAAAAAAAACTTGAAGAATTACAAATAACAAAAAAAAAGACAGTAAGAGTCGTCACTTTATAACACGCACTAACACATTCAAAAGACTCCTTATTCCATATCTTATTCTACATTTGGAGACAAACTTAAATGTGCACACTCTCAGAGCAGAGAGGCAGCCGTGGTCCTTAAAGATGAGTCCCTGTGGGGGCCGGCCTGGTGGCGCAAGCGGTTAGGTGTGCACACTCTGCTGCGGCGGCCCAGGGTTCGCTGGTTCGGATTCCAGGCGCACACCAACGCACCACTTGTCGGGCCGTGCTGTGGCGGCATCCCATATAAAGTGGAGGAAGATGGGCACGGATGTTAGCCCAGGGCCAGTCTCCCTCAGCAAAGACCTTTTAATGGGCTCATGCACTCCACCTTCTGAGCCTGCCCACCGTCTACAGAACGCTGTAGCCTATACTGTGTCCTGCACTACATCAGGGTCTATGCTGGAGACCGTACATGGGTTAGACCAGTCCTTAGGAGGCAGTCTAAACATCTACATCGTGGAAGAAAAGAGAGCCAACTTCAACTTCAGGACTTCTCAGAAAATTAGTAAGTCTACAAAAGTATTTATCAACCTTTTCCTTTCGTATTCATGTCATGGCAATACAGCTAATGCCAGGTTTGGTAGCATCCATGTAATGGCCACATTCACAACTTTTATTAAAATCTCTCCTTGCCCATGGTCTGACTTCCAGCCTTGGGCTGATTTTCTTGAAGTCCCAGACTTGCGAGGCTATGCTCGGTACTTGAATTAATTTTAAAATCTTCTGGAATAAGTGAAAGACATGGGGCTATGTAAATAGCTGGGATGCAAAGAACTCCTTATAACATCGGGCTTATCCCAGTTCATGCCATGAGCAGACACAGGTAACCCAAAGCCATCCACGAAGACTCTGCATTGACCTGCATCTTAACAATGATCCGCTTCTTCGGGACTTCATGGAAAACAGCTTAGATCTGGCCTGGCAGGTTTCATGCCTTTACATATAAACCGACAGCACTACAGAGAAAAAGTTCCTTAACTTAATAAATAAAGGAGAAATTCTTTAAAAATTAAATTAAAAAAATATGTACCACTTTACTGCTTGTGTTTCTGATTTTAAAATTCACAAGAAACCTCAAACACTGCCAAGTGCATGCTTTCATGCACACTTTTAAACTGAGTTTTCTTTAGATCTCTCAATGCAAACAAATGAAAGAACCCATGTTTTCCCCTCGACCTCCATGTAAAGAGCAGAAATATTAGAAAGCTAGACACTCCTTAAAATTGGCCTTCAGCACTTTTCCCGTGATAGACATTCAGAACACGCATTTGTCATCTGTTTCTTCCTGAAGGAGTTTTCATAAGAACTCTTGCTATCCTTAGCACTTCAAAATTAGGAGGAAAAAACTCGTCCTTTTTAATCACATCCATCTACTAATTAGGTAAACTATGCAACAGTCACAGGTTTGGCCCAGTTTCATTTTTCTCTATACACCGCTAATCCCATCTTTGGCAAGAAAAAAATCATGCATTTCTAAAGGCAGCATAAACTAATTACACTACTTTATTTCTCGTTACCTTATCGAACAAATAAATAACCGAAAGGAAAATGATCCATGCTAGAAAAAGTACAAAAACACAACATCCTCAATTTTATTCACCAATAATCAGGACCTACGGAACCACACAGCACAGATGGACCAAGTTCTGCCTCCATGAATTTTAAACTGTCTTTTACAACATTTCTCTGCTCTGATGACTAGTGTGCTACAATATGTTGGCTTGTGAAATTCAAGTAACTGTGCCTTCCCCTAAGCTCCTTCATTCAGCCTCAGCCACAAACTGCACATTGCCTATAAAAATCTACTTAAAAGAAAAATGAAGTTACTCTGAAATGTCAAACACAGCAGAAACAGTTTGTAAGCATGTATGAGGCCGCCCCTGTCAGGGGACGCCTGCATTTGTTCTCACTCCAGAGGACACCCGGAGCCCAAGGGCCGGCAGTGTCACACCGGGGGAAGCAGCATCAGAAGAAAGGAGCGAACGTGTTCCCTCATGAGACTTTAAGGAGTGACGGAGACGGAACTTCCACCCTCACACGTCGTGCTGTCTGTGAGAAATGAAGTGTCTCCTCCTTTGTTCTCTGCCAGTGGCCTGGATGCAGATGACAAGGATACACGTGGTGAGGGGACGCCCGGGACACACACTGTGTACATCCTGTAAAGAACTTCAACCATGCATGTGCTCCAATCTATGAGGTTCCTTTCATGTTATTTGTTATATGAAAAATTGCACTTCTGAGTTTATAGTCAAAGGGCCCTGAACAATGTAAGGAGAGTTTTTTCTACCAATCAAGTGCACGCACTGTAATATCCAACTTCTAGTATCAAGTTTTAATATTTCAGAAAACAATAGTTGTTGCACATCAATGACTCTTCTGACTTCCTTTATTCAAAAATAAAAGAGGCACAAAAATATAGAACTAAAATGTCCAGTGTTGTCTGAAAGCAGGTTCACCAAAAGGTTTAAAGGTAAACCTGCATTTTGGGGGGTTAATTATAATTACTAGAGAGAGAATGAATTACTTTTCAAAGAAATGTATCTCAGGAAAATGCTGACCAACAGAGTAGGTGGTTATTTAATCTCCCATTTTTATGGGGGAACCTACAGATCTCGGAAAGTCTCCCGAGCAGCAGGAGCCGCTCTAAGAAGGCCCTCTTCCAGGGAGAGCTGACATGGGCCTTTCTGGAAGGAAGGATTCTTTCTCAGGCTCCCCTATGGCAAGATTAACCAACCGCCCACAAGTACTCTCACTTCCAGGAGGAAGTGAGGCAAGTATATATCAATTCACGTCCATCTCTAGTCAATCACATTTTGCCATCTATAACACACAGCACACGCTGATGGTTTCTGAATACAAAGTGGGGACCTGGGGAAGGGGAAGGGACACAGAAGTCCCCCTTACACATCACGCTCCAGAGCACGGAGGTCTTCCAGGAGCTCCTGGGCCACAGTCTGCAGGTGGGGGTTGCGGCTCTTGGACATGGCCAGGATGCGCTGCAGGGGCAGGGAGCTGCGGAACTCGGAGGCCGACTTGGAGAAGACTTCTGGTTCCAAAACCACAGACTGCACAAGTCGCAATACATGAAGACACACCTCTGCGTCTGGATCTAGGGGGGAAGAGGTAACGCTTCTGGTTAGAATAAAACCTTCTACAGCAATCTTGGGGCAGAATCTACCCCACAGGGCTTCTTGGCCTTTCTGAATGACAGATTGGACAGTTTAGGAAACTATGAGCTGACCCAGAAACAGTATCACTTCTTCATGTAAAAGCTTAGCTTGAAAGAGCAGCATGACAAAACTCAATCGTCACCTATTTAGTAACATCCTGTCTTTAAAAATTACTCATAATTGTATTATTTTAAAATACTGAACTAAAAATATAAGGGCTTTTCATGTTGTTTGCTATAATTCTGTCCACTTATCAGATTGTTTTAATTCATTTTCACCCTGACTGCAGCAAATCCCTCAGAGATCACACACAGACATGGCATCTACTCAGGGTAACTGAGTCCCACAAAGTCACAGGCTGCAATATTCATACTGTATTCCATTTTTTTCCATGTGAATGCTCCCTGGAGTTACAGAACCTGGTAGCCCTGCATATATTGTAGCAACCACTAAAAAACAGCTAGACTGAAATGAAAGCCCAACACAGTTATAACCCTTAACCAGGATGGACCCAACTCTCCTTACCATTTCTCCCTCCTGGGAGCCTTTAACATGTCATTAATTCACTTCTTAATTGGATATTGTCATTGGAACCAGACTCAAAATCAGTACCTCTTTCTTAGCACTACACTTAAGAAACCTTTTAGGAAGTAAGCGGGTTGAAAGAGTGGACTGAACAAACCCTCAGTGGGAACTGCCACAACATCAAGGCCGCACAGAGCCTACCCCGGGGAAGCAGGGACGGGAGGAGGAGTTTCCTTCCTCCTCCTACTTTAGGGGAGGGGAAGGAAACTTTCTCCAGCACAAGACCTGCCAAAGACACAGGGCAGAGTGTGGCCGCCACAGGGACGGGGACAGGATCACCACCCAGACACAGGAAGACAGGAGCTGAACCAAAACAACAGAGAACTCCCCTCCGTCCTCCACCAGCAGCCCAGCAAACACCCAGGAGCCAGAAGAGCAGTCTACAGCTGCAGGCGGATCAAAGGACAGAAGGAGACCCCTCTGTGGCACAGACATAAGGGAAGGCAAACAGCCGAGAGGGGAGCAGGAGACTGAGGACGACACTCTGGCAGCTCAGCCCCCACCCTCAGTGCAAGGAAAGGGGAGAGACTTGAAGCCAGTGGTACACCAACGTAACCACAGCAACAACAAACCCAAACCCAGCTCACCGCCCCCACCAGCAGCCCAACAGAACAAGAGGTGTGGCCATTTCCCAGAGTAAACACTATTTTCCTCATTTTCTACTGCAGAGGTTGGTACACTACAGCACAGAGGCCAAGTGCAACCCACGCCCTGATTCTGTGCAGGCTGTGAATTAAGAGTGGTTTTTACATTTTAAAGGGCTTTTTAAAAAGAAAAAAAAAAACCAGAAAAATAATATGCAACAGAAACCATGATGTGGTCCTCTAACTTCAAAGTACTTACTATCTGGCCCATAACAGGAAAAGTGTGCTGAACACTGCTCCACTGCCCCACACACAATGTCCAACATTCAATAAGAAATCACAACGACACAGCAAGGAAAACAAAAGGCCCACAGTGAAGCAATACAGTAATCAACAGAGCCAGACTCAGAGATGACCCAGACACAGGAACAATGAGAAAAGGAATTTGAAGTAAGTATGATTAATAGATGGGAAAACACTGTTTTAGGATTCTTACAGTACACCTGAAGCAGTATAATATTAAAAATTTTTAATTTTTTATTTATTATTTAATATTTTAATTTTTTTTTCTTTGAGGAAGATTGGCCCTGAGCTAACATCTGCCAATCCTCCTCTTTTTGCTGAGGAAGACTGGCCCTGGGCTAAGATCTGTGCCCATCTTCCTCCACTTTATGTGGGACACCACCACAGCATGGCTTGCAAAGCAGTGCATTGGTGCACACCTGGGATCCGAACCGGCGAACCCCGGGCTGCTACAGCGGAGCGCGCACACTTAACCGCTTGCGCCATCGGGCCAGCCCCTAATTTTAATTTTTTAATTAAAAATATTTAAATACAATTAAAGATTGTATTACACACCCTAGAGCAAATACTAAAAGTTTTTAAAGTGTAAATGATAAGCCAAAAGTGCAGAAAAAATATATTATTAAAATATTCAATTCAACAGCAGACAAAAAAGAGGAAAAAAGAAACAACTAGAAATATTTCTGTATTTCTTTCTACATATATTAAATGAAAACAGTACAAATACACTGATTAAAAGACTGAGAATGCATCAAACAGCAAGACTCAACTATACATTGTCTACAAGACACCCAAGATAAATATAAAGACAGAGGTTAAAAGTAAGAATATAAAAAATATGCCATGCAAACACTAATTAAAAGAAGACTGCAGAGCCTATATTATTATCAGACAAAGTAGACTTCAGAACAAGAAATATTACCAAGGATAAGGAGGGACACTGCATAATTATAAAGAGGTCAGTGTACCAAAAAGACATAATAATCTTAATTATGTATGTACCTAACAATAGAGCTTCAAAAGACACAAAGCAAAATATGACAGAACTCCAAGGGCAAATAAATTCACAATTAAGAGTTGGAAACTTGAACACTCTTACTTCCATTGCTGATTTTAAAAAAGTAAGAAAGAAAATCAGAAAGGATACAGAATCCCTGAACAACACTATCGACCAATTTGACCTAACTGACATTTAACAGAATTCAAAGTATGTTCTGTGATCATAAGGGATTAAATTAGAAATAAAGAAATACACAATAAATAATAGAAAATAGCAAAAATACAAAGTAAATAACAGAAAAATATCAGAAAAATCCTTAAATATTTGGATATAAAACAACATACTTCTAAACAATCTATGGACCAAAAAGGGAGTCATACGGCAAACTAGGAAATATTCTAAATGAAATGAAAATGAAAACACATTATCAAAATTTGTGGATGCAGTTAAATCAGTGCTTATAAGGGTAAATTACAGCATTAAATGCTCACACTGGAAAAGAACAAAGGTCTCAAATTAGTTATCTTAGTGTTCATCTTACAAAAAATAAGAAATAGAGCAAATCAAACCCAAAACATGCAAAAGGAAAATAATAATAAAGAGCAGAAATCAATAAAAATAAGAACAAACAAAAAACAATTGAGGAAGAAACCAATAAAATCAAAAGCTGACCCTTTTAAAAAATCTACAAAATTGATAAAACTCTAGCTAGACTAAACAAGGAAAAGAAAGAGAGAAGACAGACACAAATTACAAACATCAGGAATGAAAGAAAAGACATCACTATAGATCCTACAGATATTAAAGGACTAATTAGAGAATATTATGAACAACTTTGTGCCTATAAATTTTACAACTTGAATGGAATGGACCAAATTCCTTGGAACATATAATCCACCAAAATTCACTAAAAAAAAAAAAAACAGATATCCTAAACAGTCCTATACATATTAAAGAAACTGCGTTCATAGTTTAAAATGTTCTACAATTAAAAAACTCCAGGCCAGGAAGGCTTCAATGTCAAATCCTATCAAATATTTAAAGAAGAAATAACAGTAATTCTACACAAGTCTTACAAAAAAACAGAAAAGAAAGGAACAAGTCTCACCTTTTTTTATGAGTCCAGGATTACCCTGATAGCAAAACTAGGCAAGATATTACAAGAAAAGGCCAATATCCCTCATGAATATAGACACAAAAATCCAACACAAATTATTAGCAACTTGAATCCAGTAATATATAAAAAGGATAATACTTCATAAACAATAGATATTTATTATAGGAATGCAGGGTTGGGTCAACATTTGTAAATCAATCAATGTTGCTTACCATGACAATAGACTAAAGAAGAAAAACCCAAATGATCATCTCAACAGATGCAGAAAAAGCCTTTGACAAAATTGAATACCCATTCATAATAAAAACTCTCAGCAAACTAGAAATAGAAAGGAATATCTTGAACTTGATAAAAGGCATCTACAAAAAACATATAGTTGACATCATTCTGAATGGAAGAAGACTGAATGCCTCTCCCCTAAGATCAGGTACAAAGCAAGGCTGTCCATTTTCACCACTCCTATTCAAAATCACACTGGCGATCCTAGCCTATGCAGCAAGGCAAGAAAAAGAAATGAAAGGTTTATAGATTGGAAAGGAAGAAATTAAACTGTCCCTATTTGCAGATGATATGACTGTCTACACAAAAAATCCCAAAGAACCTACAAAACAGCTACTAGAACTAATTGAGTTTATCAAGGTCACAGGATATAAGGTCAACATACAAAGATCAATTGTATCCATATATTATTAATGATAAATTGGAAATGAAATTTTTTAATAAGGCTATCATTTATAACACCAAAAATATGAAACACTTAAGTACAAATCTTAACAAGATGTGTGCAAGATTTGTATGCTGAAAGCCATGAAACACTGACATAAGAAATAAAAGACAACTTAAATAAATGGAGAGATATAATATGTTTACGGATGGGAAGACCCAATACTGTTACGATGGCAAATCTCCCCAAATTGATCCATATATTCAGTGCAATCCAAATGAAAATCCCAGTAGGATTTTTTGTAGAAATCAACGAGCTGATTCTCAAATTTATTTCAAAAAGGAATTTCCAAAATAATTTACAAAAAGAAAAACACTGGAAGACTAAGAGTACTAGATTTCAAGACTTACAGTTATCAAGACCATGCGGTATTAGTGAAGGGAAGGGACAGACACAGAGATAAATGAAACAGAATTAGAGAATCCAAAAGTATAAATGCAATTCAATCAAGAAAGAATAGCCTTTTCAACAAACAGTGCTGAAAAAACTGAACATCCATATGCAAAGCAAAGAACTTCAACCCATATGTTGCCTCATGTACAAAAATTACAGGAAAATTGGGCTGGCCCGGTGGCACAGTGGTTAAGTTCACACACTCTGCTTCAGTGGCCTGGGGTTCACAGGTT